TGCTATGTAGTGCAGAGTTATTTGCCATAAAATTGCTTCTTAAGTAGTTATTGAGGTTCAAATGTATCACAGTATTTCTTTTTTTTTTCTGTAGTCCTTGTAATAAATTGCAATCTTAAGTGCCTCAAGGTCCTCTCACCTCTGGTTTCATAAATGCTTCCCAGTACCTGTCCTACCCTGTAACACCAGAAAAGAAGCATGCTATATACTTTCCAGAGAAACATAAGAACACGATCCCAAGAGCTTCCAAGATAAATACATTCTCTGAATTCCATACATTCATCACACAGTTTTTATTAGGCCAAAAATTTGCTTACAAGGTCTTGTGTGGTTGTGAGCTGAGATACATTTTCTATCCCTATAGAAAAGTCTTTAATTACTTGATCGTATGTCACACTGCTATGCAAAAAAAAAAAAAAAATTAAGCATGTATTTTCTCCAATCTTCATGTACCAAGAACAATGTCTATCAAAAATAGTCCTTTACAACATAAACTGTTTCAGAAATAAATACCACTTGATGTTTATAAAGTGCATTCCTCTGGCTGTGGCTGCTGAACAATCTACTCGATGCAGGAATTCACGTTTTAAGTAGTTCTGACTTCCCCTAAGGCAACTAAATGTACCAGGACCTACTGTAATGTCCTAAATCCAATCCTGGTTTATGTTGCATGCTCAAAACACCCATTTTCTTCAAAGGAAAAGGTGGACAAAAAATGCTAAGCTGAAATTTGATAGGTAAAAGTTCATCAGAAATATCTTGTTGACGAGATCAAATTTATTGTAGAAGTTTCCATTCTGCATCAACACAGTAAACAGTGTTTGGTTTTCGGTACCAATTGATACAGCCAAGTGAGCAATCAAACATGAATTTTCTCCTTTTTGTGTTTGCGTAACAGCTGCGCTTAGTTTGCCGTTTCACCAGATATAGTCATTACCCAAACATAGTTAACATTTTTTGTTCATGAGGGTAGTAACTTGAGTCTTTGTTTCTTAAACAATTATGAACGCTTGGTCCTTTCTGGGGGGTGTGTGTGTTGCACACACGATCCCTACTAAATTGGTTTTGCCTGTGATTACAAAGGTCCTGTAATGCTGGCTGTGCTCCCTGGTTGGGTGATCCTACCTCATCCATCAGGAGAACGGCCTGAAGGTACTATCAAAACAGTAGTTTATGGAGCAGAAACAAATAATACATGATCAGAGACTTCAGAAAACGTTACATTGCCTTCCTCCTTCTCTGCACCCACAGACTTTCTCAAGCCACCCCTCTCAGACCAGGAAATGGTAAGATATATTGGCTGGGAGAGGAGTTTAATTCAATTCTGACTTGTTGCATTCACAGAAAATGAATGAATGTGCATGCAGAGTCTGGTTTTAAGGGGTACAGTCAGGCCCTTATCTGATTGACCTAAAGGTCTCCTTGATAGGGAATTGGCAATGAATTTCAAAAGCCTAGTTGCTGCTTTGTCTCCAGCAGTTTTCCACCCTGAGGCAGGATTGAGTCAGAGGCAGAGTTAAGATTGCTCAGGAAATACATCTCCCATGTGATACTTTTGGCCTGTACATTTAAGAGATCTTGAAAAGCTGACATCAATAACTTGCTGATTTTTTTTTTGTATTTCTAAATATTTAAAATTATATTAGCTGTAGTACTCATTCGGTATATGGGACACTATCATATGTTTACTAGAAAGCAAAATGTAGAGGACTGCTGCTTTGTGTTTAATTGCTTTTGTACTTAGAAAGACAAGGATAACGCAGAGCCTACCAAAGCCTCTACCTTCTCTCCAACTGTGACTGTGGCCGTAGCCCAGGGGATGCCACCAAGGAGGTTTAGAACCCCGGCAGTCTGCCAGGCTCCATCGCTCAGCTGCCCAACTGTGTGGAGCATGCAACTCGCTTCCAGGTCCAGCTGCCATAATTCAGTGTGTGTAACAGTATTACAAATTCAGGGATTTTTTTTACAAATTATTATTGTCATAGTAATATCATACTGTAGGACTGTACCAATAGCTGTTCTCCTTAAAGATGCCCAATCCCTTCTTCTCCCCTTCTCTTGACCTCACCTTGCTAAGGCATGACAGCCCTCCGGGGAATGGCATCCCATGCCAAAGGAATCCTTCCCGGTGTCTGAAGGCCCCTTTCACACAGCTGGGACAGGCAGTTTCTGCGCAGCCTGCAGCTCAGAACAGTCTGACCTATCTCCCTCATGTAGGAAAAATTATTTCATGTAAACAGACCAGAACCCATGTTAAAATTTCCACATGCATTCAGCCTGTTCAGGTGCTTACTTTCCGTAGGAAAGTGGTCTGTACCACATTCAGGGCAGTGGTCAGGCTTAGCCCTAGCTTTGTAGGACCTTATGGCTGACACCACCTATCACCATACGGCTGGGGAGCAGAGCATCCCCGTGCCAGTCTCCCCAGTGACCCCGCCAAATTTGGGTGTGAACACTTCTGCCACACACAGACCCAGATTTGGGCTTACACATGGCTTGGTGCCCAGGAAGAGTTTGTCCATGCGTGCTCCTTTAGAGCACGTCAGTGACCAGAATTTAAAATAAAACACAGGAGCCTTGACTACACAGCTCCACATCTGGAAATATTGACACACGTCCCGAGAAGAGGGGCCTTACTCGCTTGGCTGAAGCGCGAGGTGACGCTACCTTCCAACTCCACGGCAGGAGAAGGAATGCTCTCCGCTAAGCATGTTTCATTAACTCAGAACACACGCTTCCATTTATTCAAACCATATGGATGCGTTTTATATTTTTATTATGTTTCACACGACCGAGGCCACTGTAAATGCTCGCTCTGCGTCTTTGCATATTTTAGTTTCCTGAAGCAATTTTCTCTTATGTTTCCGTTAACTACAAGCGCCACAAAACGCGTTATTAATTACAGACGTGGGCTGCCTTATGCGGTATGATGTGTTCCCTCTGCACATTCACTTAAATGCCTGTTGTGAAGCAGTCATACATACAGTGGTATTTTATCTATAAACTGCCTGAAATATAAGCCTTCATAACTAAACATTGTTTAAAGCTTAAATTCGGCAAAGAAAATGCTCGGTTTGGGGAACAGTATTTTCCATACTCAGTAGGTGCTTCATAACATGCTAAAGACCTGTTCTTTTCATGGGGAATACTCACATGCTTTCAGTTAAGCTTGCACTGAAGTAATTCTCTATGTCACGGTAAACAAATACCTTCTCCTAGCATGGAGGCAGGCAGTAGAAATCCCAGCGATTAGGGTCTGCTCCATCTTTATGTCTATGAAATAGCCTGCTGACTCCTACCAACCACAGCGACAACTGGATTGACGCTCCCAACTCGCTGGTGCAGAAACCTCTGAATCCTTAAAAAAATGCGTATTTTAAGCCAAGTTCACCTTCATATTGGGTTTAAACTAATAATACGCAAGTGAAAGGGTATACAACTTGTTACTAATTCATTTATTACAATTTTTCTAACTGTTGTTTTCAGTAGTAGTCTGAATTACTTCCCAAATGTCTGTGCTCATCTGCATTGGGAAAATGACGACAGGGTGAGAACACAGAATACACTCGTGATAAGAAGAGTAATAATCAAATTCAGAGGCATGATGTTACTTTCAGGGGTGCCTAAAACTTTTCCTTTCTTCCAGTCTGTCACAAATACCCACTTATAATTAAGATAGAGAGTGGGTCAGTGGTTAATAATCTCATTAGCCAGTAATTCTTGAACAGACAGTGGGGAAAGATGTAAGCTGATGAAGAATTAAGCTGGGGAAAGACTCAAGGCAGTGCAGTGCCAGCCTCTTCATTGCTTCTCACCATGCTAAGAAATTTCCTCCATTGCAAATTGACTGCTCTGATCAGATTGATTTTTCCTCTGGCAGAATTGATGATAGGAGGTACAAAGAAGTAAAGAATCTGGCCCAAGAGACTTTTAAAAGCCTGCCAGTCTAAAGCAATATTGGAATCACCCAATGCCTTGACTACATCTTCACAGACCACTTAATTATACTCCGACATGAATAGAGCTGCTGTCATAAATGCTGTCTGTAACAAAATAAATGTTTATCACTGCTGCACATTTTAAAGCCATCCCAGATCACTGTTCATTTATTACTGTCAGATTATTGTCATTAGGTTATGGTGCTGTGAGTGTCTCTGATGCAGCACAGCAAACTGAATCTATGGAGATGCCTCTCTCAAGTGTCTAAGTACCAAGTCCCGAGATTTCCAGTGGAGAGAGAGAGGTGAAACAGCGCATTTAAGCTAGGTTCCTGCCCTCGTTCAGCTTGGCAGACCCTCTCTCCATCAATTAAACAGAGACCAGCCTTTTAACACTAGTATCCACGCTGGGTGAGGAAGGTCCCCTGCACACCCATCCCAAACAGCTTATAGCCCAAAAGCGAGAGTGGGTGTGGGTAGAGCTGAACAGCATCAGACTGTGGACAAGGTGGATTTCCACTTACAAAAACAGATCCAGACACTGTGCCTTCGTGATGCTCCTCTCCACCAGCCAGCCCAGCTATCACTGTCAAATCTGAGTTATGAAGCCGATGCCCAGGTCTGGTCACATTTTGCTCTTTTCCCTGCTCTCACCTCCTGCTCACATCTCTTTCAGCCCTGGCCAGGGAAGGACCAGGAAGCAGCCATGGAAGAGACTGTGGTGCTGGCTTTTGAGGGATTCACAAGGTTCGAGCAAGGTTGTCCTTTCCATAGCAGAGATCTGGCACATCATGCACAGCATCCTTACACCAAGAAGCAAGACATGCCAGAAACTCCATGAATACCAGGCACTGCATAAGTTGACCAGGCACCTCCTGTACCCAACTCTGCCAAACTGAGAGAAATCATGGCTAAATGGCAATAGGAAAACCCACTGCAATAAAACACCATCGATGAGCAATCACTGCCTGCTGCTGCTGTGCCAGCTGCTTCCCTCACCTCAATCACACACAGCACCTTCCTCCAAGGGACCCTCTTGGCCTTGGTGGCCCTACACCAGCGATGGACATGCTGAGAGGGAGGGCTGTCCAGCAGTTGAGTCCTGCCTCTTGCCCTGTGGTTCTGCTGGGCTCTCCCCCAGGCCACAGGGAGCAGCCTGATGAGAAGGAAAGTGGCAACGAGTATAAAAATGGAGCGTGGATGTCTCACTGTTTTGAGAGGGGCGAGCCATCTGCAGGTATGTCCCCTCTAGAGACCGTTCTGGCTTCCTGCTCCTGTGCCTGTGGCGGTGCAGAGCCCCCTGGGGCCACTCTGAAATCTCAGGATAAGCCCTATTGTGCTGTTATCTTGGTCACAAGTGCAGTGGCTTGGGCATCAGGTGCTCTCGGGCCACACCTGGGCCATCTGCTGCCTGAATGGTACATCAGGACCACCCTGGGAGCTCAGGATATCACCATGCATGTTTTGGGAAAAGCTCCCATTGTGCTGTTATCTTGGGCACAAGTGCCGTGGCTTGGGGGCCAGGCACCCCCTGGCCACACCTGGGTCACCTGCTGCCCAGACTGTATGCCAGAATGACTTGGCACAAATTGTGGCCAGAATGGAAAATACTGACCAAAGCCAATCATCTGAGACCCCATAAGTGAGACTTTTTGGAACTCTCCCAGACTTTGGAACACAGCGGGCTCCCCCCTGAGCTAGAACGCCTCTCAGGGCAGATTTCAAGAAGACTGAAAGATCGTCCTTGGACAATTTTGCAAGGACTCAAAGGCCTGATTTCGTGAGGTTCACCGCCCGTCTGTTGATGAATGCCAGCACATAAAAGTGAGTAATTCATGAAAGTCATGAAAAGGGAAATTTTAATCACAGGTTAACCTCTGTGAGACTGTGCAATTTGACTCAGAACTGTTTGTCCGTCTACGCGCACTTGTGTGATTTGACTTAAACCCCATCTGGGTGTGCAACCCTGCCGTAAGTTCTGGGTGACCCTTGCTGTTCTCGAATCTTTAAGTAAGTCGCTCTTTTGATTGTAACAAATTCCGTTGAATCGCTCCGTTCAGTGGGCGATGCTTAAGTGCTGTTAAGAATTATACAACCTAATTTTGTGATCTATCTCAAAAATAGTAACAAATCCTAAATTGCTGCTAAACCAAAGCTGTGTAAAAAAATCATATTATCGACAGTGATATGAAGGATTGATTGCGCCTATATCATCATTTAGACATAAACCATTGACCAAGTCTGGGACTAGGACTGGATCCAGCTGCACCCAGACTCCTCTCTGAGTTCGGAAAGCAAGGGGGTCCTTTCCAAACCTCATGACTCAACGGGAGGGGCTCCCTGACAGCTTTGTCTGACCCTGTCCTCTACGCTGTAAACGGTCAAGTGTACCTTGCCATCGAATCTTGTTAAACCACTGTTGCATTTACCATTGAACCTTGTTAACCCACTGAACTGTATCATTAAAGCATATTTTTGCTTCTCTCTCACTCCATCCATGACAAATTGGCGTAGTCAGCAGGATCCTAAACTGGTATTTGTGACAGTGGCCCAGCTGCAGAGCGGGTTAGCACATCCCTTATGAAAACCTGTGGTGCAGCACAGATTGTGCCCAAATCCTCCAGACTCTCTTGGAAATCCCACCGTTTTAAGCAAGTCTGCTACGCTCATCACAAGGTCAAGGTGCTAGCCTGGGGGACAGTGACTGCAATGAGGTGACGCATGTTTGCACAGCAGTGATTGAATGTCCCATCACAGCTCATACACTGGAGCAGTCAAAGCTCAGGGGTGACTGTGGACTGCAAGAATGAAATGGAGAAGTGGGTAGACCTGTTCAAGGTCTTTTTGCCCCACTCAGGAGGCGTTGCAGCAGACCTAGGCAGGGTATTCCCACTGGCAGCCTTTTACAGTGCAGCTTTTCTACTCAAGCAGAGGGCTTACCCACTTTCCTGATGTCTTCTAAACACCTGGTTTTGTGAGGGCAAACTCTGGCAAAGCCAGGGGAGTTATCCTATGGTTACAAGAGGGTGACACAACAGGACCAATGTTTGGCGTTATGACCCCCATAAGCTATTTTTACCCAGTAGAACTTTGGCCACTGTAAGGCACATTAAGTCAGAACCACAAGAAAAAAAAAAAAAGGTGGACTGGGGTACTGGGTATTACCTGGCACTTCTTGTTTCTTATCATAAAGAAATAGCTCCTGGCTTTGCCAGGAAACCAGTGCCCTTTAAGCAGTTCTCACCTCCCTCAGAGTTCTCATCTCCCTCAGAAAAGCAGACCAGCTTTGAGGGAAGCTGGATATGCAAGGTAGCCCCCAGGCACTGAAGCTGGGAGAAGAGGCTTCAATGGTTTTGGTTCCTCTGCTATACAGGAAACAAAGCTTTGCATACCTATACTTCACCCAAGTGTTTCAGGGTTATTTTTGTCTCCAGAGTTAGACCCTGAGATAAGAAGGCAAAGTATTTACGTGCTTCAGAGCACGTAACTGTATTTTAATGCTTGATTAAAACCTAGGAGCACTCATTGCAACTAAATAATGCAACAATTCAGAAAACATTATTTAAAGTGGTTCTGATTTTCAGGAGGTGGGGGGAAGAGCACGCTGGTAACTTT